TGTGCTCCATTTGTGTACAATGTGTCAGATGAATTCTACTGTCATGTAGAACTAATTAGAACAAAGTTTGAAAAAAAATTAGTTGCCTATTTTATTGTTACTAAGTTTTTAGAAGTCCTTTATATAAACAGGATGAGATTTATACAATTTGTAGATTAAAATCTCTTCTCCTGGTCTGAGGCTTGCCTTTTCATCCTCTCAATAGAGTCTTTTAATGAAAATAAAAATGTTCTCAATTTTAAATTAAAAATTCCCACATTTTATGTTTAGTGTCCAATTTTGGACATATAATAGATTCCCCCCTTGTCCTTGCAAATAGGCAATATTAGCAAAAAACTTAAAAATGCACCGTAATTTGTCTTTGGGGTGGATCAGAATATGCTACTCTAAAATATGTCACTTTGGTGTAAGAATGATTTGGAGCTGCCAGGTGTGATGGTGCACGCCTGTAATCCTCTGGGATTGAGGCTTGAGAGGCTGAGGCAGGAGGACACAAGTTCAAAGCCAGTCTCAGCAACTTTGTGAGAGCCTAAGAAACTTAGTGAGACCCTGTCTCAAAATAAAAAATAAAAAGGGCTGGGGATGTGGCTCAGTGGTTAAGTGCCCCTGAGTTCAAACCCAATATCAAACAACAACAATGACAACAAAACATAATTATTATTTGGAGCTAAAGGCAATTGAGAATGAGCAGGTGCAGAAAGAATTCCTTGCTCTCCCCTGTTTAAATGTGGGCCATGAATTTCCATTGGAGGAAGCCTTCCACCACTCATACCAAACATTCCTTACAAAAATAACCCTGTCTTCCATTACTTCCCCCTTGTACTTCCAGTCACATTCCCACAACTTATCCCTTGAAGCTGAAACCCTATTTTTTTCTGTTGAAAGGGCACCTAAACCTGAGTCTATCTGCTTCTTTGAGTTTCTTTGCCTTTTCATCCTCTCAATAGAGTCTTTTAATGAAAATAAAAATGAGTTTCACTTCTCTTTTGTGAACTCCCTTACACATAAATATTAATAAAAATTGTGTGACTTTTCTCCTGTTAACAGGAGAAAAAGAATTGTAAGTTTAATTCACAGCCCCCAGGTACGGACCCTATCAGGATAAAGAAAAAGTTTTTCCTCTTTGACATCTTGTGGGAGCACGATAATTAAGATGGTACAAGGTCTGGAAAGCATATTTTATAAAGGCTGGTTGAGGGGGATGTGACGTTAAGTCTATGGAAGAAAACACTACTGGTTTGGAGGATAAATGGGAGGGCTGTTAAGGAAAGGAAGAATAAAGGAAGGCAATTAGCATTTACTAAGCATACACTTAGCTCCTGACTCTGTGCTAGGAACATTAGAATAGTTAATCTTCAAGGAAACTGAAGCTCAGAAAAATTAAGCCGATTACCCAAATTACATAGTTAGAAAGTGATGGAATTTGGCTTCAAAAAGGTCTTCTGGTTATTTCCTTCCTAGCCACATATACCCAAAAGAATTGAACACTGGTACTCAATCAAATACTTATACGTGCATATTCATAGCATTATTCACATTAGCCAAAATTTGGAAATCACCCTAATGTTCATCAATGGATGAATGTTTGAAGAAATTGTGTTGTGCAAATATAGTGGAATGTTATTAAGCTTTAAAAATAGAATGAAATACTGGGGCTGGGGCTGGGCTCAGCAGTAGTACATTTGCCTGGCATGTGTGAGGCACTGGGTTCGATTCTCAGCACCACATATAAATAAAGGTCTATCAACAACTAAAAAATAAAAAACTAACAAACTTAAAAAAAAGAATGAAAAACTGACGTTTGTTACAATTTGGATGAACTGTAAAAACACTAAGCTAATTGAAAAACGACAGAAAAAAGGTCACATGCTGTATAATACCATTTATATGAAACTTTCAGAATAGATAAATCCAATAGAGACAGAAAACAGACTGGTGGTTGTCAAGGATTATGGAGAGAGAAGAATGGGGAGCGATCGTTTAATGGGTCTGGGGTTTGAAAACAGTAGATGATGATAACGGTTGTGCAATATTGTCAATGTACTAAATATCGTTGAATTGTTCACATTAAAATGGTTAGTTTTGCTGGATGGTGTGGCTCCTACTGCAATTTCAGCAATTCAGAAGGCTAAGGCAGGAGTATTGCAAGTTGGAGGTCAGCCTGGGCAACTTAGTAAGACCCTGTCTCAAAATTAAAAAAATAAATAAATAAAAAGGGCTGGGGATGTAGTTCAATGGTAAAGTAACCTTGGGTCCAATCTCCAGTATCACAATAGGAAAAAAAAAGCTAATTTTATATGATCCGAATTTTTTGAAAAATAAGTTGTTCTTGCTCCAAGTATACTGTTTTCTTCATTAAGACCAGCTGCTTCCCTGGGGCAGTAGAAGGAGGAAAGTACAATTTGGTTTAGTAGAAAAAAGAACTTTCATACAGTTATACAGTAGTGTAATAAGCTGACTTGTGTTGTATACTAACACTAGAAGTATTCCAGTACGGCGTAGACAACTGTTTATAATATTGTAGAATGAGCCTCTAAGTTTCCTTTTAATGATTAGATTCCATAATTCTATCCTCTTTTATAGTTTATGACTTAGAGCAGAATTCAAGCATAACACAAGAAAATATGTAATGTCAAATACTGGTCTTTGTGATAGAGCCTACAAATAATACAGGGCAATTTATAAGAGAAATGACAAACTTTGGTAAATGTGCATTTTTTAAATATTATAGCTTTATAGAATATTAAAAACAAACTATGAAAGAAACCAAACTGCAGATGCATTAAAGTGTGGCATGTGTTTATAACGTTGCTTTTGCAAATGCTGTTTTATTCACTTATTGTAGAACTTTTAAAATAAGTCATTTAAAAACAAAGCTCCTTTTAACAAAGTTTACACAGGTGGTCATGGGATTAGCTGGTGGTGGCAGTAACTGAGGAGGCTTAAAGTAGTCTTGCAGAAAGCTAAGGTAGTGATTTGCCCAGAGGGAAGGCCATAATTCTACAGGGCTTAGTCTACTGGATGTGATGGATAAGCTCAGGCCATAGCTGCACACAAGTCAGAATATAGTCCTTCCAGGTAAGGAGGACTCTAAGGTACAACCCTCCTTGTTTGGCTGAAAGGTAGTGCTCATTTTCTGGAGATGTAAATGAAAGGGAATACACATTTTGAAATATGTGCATGTTTCTTCTCTCCTTCAGTACTGGAGATTGATCCAGGAGAGTGCTCTACCACTAAGCTACATCTTCAGCCCTTTTTATTTTTTTTCAGACAGGGTCTTGCTAAGGTTGCCAAGGCTGGCTTTGAACTTGAGATCCTCCTGCCTCAGCCTCCCAAATCACTGGGATTACAGGCGTGTGCCGCCATGATGGCTATTTTACCTCTTATTTCAATTAAATTTCCAAATTTAACAAAGCCTGGATTCTGAAGTTGGTTCTGAGTTCAAATTTTAGTTCTACCACTTACCAAATTAACAAATCATTTTTTTGGCCTCATTTTTTCATCTGTCAGGGAAAATACTGGTAAGTATCTTATAGGGTGGTTGTGCACATAAAAAGATCTTAGCATCACCTCTGGTACATGTAAGCACTCACGCACAGTATTAGCTATTATTATCACGTGCTGCTTGAAGAAATTTTTAGATGGAAAAAATTTTTTAAAAATGTGAATTTTAAATGAAACAAAAAATCCTCTTGGAACAAAGGAATTCCAAACATTTGCTTATTCACAAATAATCTTTTAGGTCCAGCTGCCTTGAAGCAACCCAAGTCTACCTATAACATAAACCACAATATATTATATAGTTGTTGCCTACTCTCCCGTGATTGGGAAATCCACGTGAGAGGCTCAAAAACAGGTGTGGCCTGTGGGCTAACGGACTCCCCCAGAGGGCTTTGCGGTTATACTTTTCCAGAGGCCTTAGGGACAGAAGTCTGAAGCTGTCATAGGCCTTCATTTTCTGGCAGATCTTGAGGTGCGGATTAACTGGGACTCCCCCATTAGCATTTCTCCTCTTCAGATTCTTTTCCTTTAACTGTCTGTGGCCCCTCTTCAGTGTCCAAATTGGTTTTAAGTTTCTGTTTAAACCTTGAGCTTCAAGTACAGGGCCTGTGAATAATTTTTCAGTCACTAATGTCTGAAGTTCAGTGGGCACAGAGATTTATTTGCGGCCCTGATCTTTCTTTCCCAGCCCTGGTACCTCACTGAATTCCGCCCCTCTCCTGTTCCTCGATTTTCCCATTTTTGTTGTAAATCTTTTGCCATGCCTCTTTACATTACCACCTTTTTCGTACTTTGATCAAGCAGTATGTCCCCTCTCGCGCCCCGCCCATCATTTCTCACGTCCAGTCCCTGTCGTCTGCCCCTCCCCTGTTCTTCAACCTCCTTGTAACAGCAGGGTGGGTAACGCTGTCACAGGGTGATGCTTCTGCTCCGCTGGCATGCACGTCAACTTCAGAAGCCACCGAATTCTCACGCCCTAGCTCCCTTCCCCTATATTTCCTGAAAGTCTCGCTGTCCCCTCTGGCCCTTTGTTCTCGCATCCTTCCCGACTACTGCCGCCTCTTGATCGCTACTGCTTCGGCCTCTTATTTCGCGCCTTCTTTTTTAGGCTTGGAGGAGGCGGAGTTGGAATGGCTGCGCCACCGTTGCCGAGGCAACGCCTTGGTTACTTCCGTCGGTGTCAATGCTTCCGGGTTGGCCTTGCAGTGGCGTTTCTGACTGTGGGAGCCTCGGCTTCCCAGTCGTCTGATGAGCCGTAGCAGGTGAGGGGGAGCTCCTGGACTTCCAGGCTGGGGAGCGGGGCTGGGCCGCGCCAGGCCGCGCAGGGCCGGGCTGGCCTGGTTCCCGGCCTGGGAGGGGCTTAACGGTCCTTTGGTCTCTCTCTCCCCTCAGCCGAGTCCCTTCCCTGTCTTTCACTCTTCTGGCATCGGTGGTTTTACTTCTTCGATTGAACCCTGCTTCCTCGACCCCCCTGGGAGGCCGCCTCCTTCAGGCGCCTCCCTTCTCTCCACGAACTCGCTCTGACAGCTGAGGAACTGGCAAGATCCTGCTACCCAGAGGGTGAATGGGTATCTTTCCTGGAATAATCCTAATTTTTCTAAGGGTGAAGTTTGCAACGGCGGCCGTGATTGTAAGCGGAGTAAGCAAACACCTCCATTGTATTAGTGTGAGGGATGCTGTTGAAAGATGGTCCCCTTCAGTTTCTACCTCCTGCCACTCCTGAGGTCAAGGCATTGAAGGCATCTATTAAAATGCAGTTCAGTTACTTGATTGGGATGACAGCTTGTCAACATGAATTAATATCTTAGACTCGGTAACATCAGGGAAATTTATAGTTTTCTGTTGGTGATTCTTTGACTCTCCCCCCCACCTTCCGCTCCTCAGGCTAGAGTGGTTGTGAACTCTTCCTTCATCTTCATTCCATACACCATTAAGTACCTTTTGTCCCCATTTCAGAACTTTATCTCTAAGCTCACTGCCTGTAAGCATCTTTCTCTTCTTTACTTCACACCATCCTAAGACAGTCTCCCTGCCTCTGCTGTTTGTAATCCACTGTGCTTGCTGCAACCCTAGTAGGTTTACTAAAAATATGGGTTTTTCTCAAGTCGCTTTCCTGTTAAAAAAATTTAATTGTCCTCTCCACACCTTGGTTTTTAAGCCTTTAAATACAACCTGCTCCTTCCACTTGTTTCAGCCAACAAGTGAATTCTTTATTCCAGATGGAACTTTCATTTCCTTCTCAGAACAAACCGTATTGATGTCTACCTCCACATGCTATGTTTTTTTTCCCCACATGTGTGTCTCTGTTCATCTTGTCCCCTCTCCCACCCTTTCCCTTATCTGCCCCTATCCGGATTCAACCTGCACTCTGTCAAGGCCCAACTTAAGTTCTGTCACCTCCATAAGCTTTTTCAAATTATTTAAACTGTGTGGATTGTCTCCTTTTCCATGTTCCTCTTGCTTTTATAAGATTGTACTACATAGTGTAGCACTTAATTTTTCTCTAATCAAGTTTTTTTTCCTACCACATTCTAAGCTCTTAAAAGGCAAGTACTCTATTTAATACAACTTTTATCCCTGCCCCATCTCCTTGATTATTCAAGAAAGATACATTAAGTGGTAAATATTGCCTTGGTGTTAGAACAAATTTCTTTTATAAAAAATGTGATGATTATACCCTTAGCACATTATAGGTTTGAGCACTTAGTATGACTTCAAAAAATATATGTTGGCTTCCCATTGTTACCTTCTCAGTCTTAGATTCTCCATTATCTTCTTTTTCTTAAAGGAAAAAGCAGGAAAGTCACCCAGAGTTTCCTGATCAGATCTTTGGAGTATCATAGGGCTATGTAACTAGTATTCTGGGACATGTTTATTGGTACTTGTTAGGTTATCAGATTTTCCTTAGATCTTTATAATACATATATGCAGATTTAAACACAATTTTCATTGGCTTCTTTATATAATAAAATATTTAGAGTATTATGTTTCTATTTTAATTAAGATATGACTTCTGTCTTTTTACACATATCTGGGGTTAGCCTCATCTGTCAAAATAATTTAAGAGGATTTGGGGTATATTTTACACAAGTAATTCTCTACAAGAAAAGAAAGGGAAGAAGATTTTTCTGTAGAAAATATTCGGTGATTAGGGCAGCATCATGTACAGGGTGTGTAGCATTGGCCAGGTGCAGAAGTTACCTCTCTGTTTTCCCCTGTAATTTTTTTTTTTTTTTTTGGTAGCAAGGATTCAACCCAGGGATGCTTACCCACTGAGCCTCACCCCCCCTTTTTTTAGACGAGATTTTTTTTTGATGGACCCAATATCTTTTTGTTTGTTTATTTATTTATTTTTATGTGGTGCTGAGGATCAAACCCAGGGCCTCACGCATGTGAAGCAAGCACCCTACCACTGAGCTACAACCTCAGCCCTCCCCAGCCCTTTTTTTATTTTTTATTTTGAGACAGGGTCTTAATAAGTTGCTAAGGGCCTCTCTCAGTTGCTGAGGCCAACTTTGAATTTGTGATCCTCCTGCCTCAGTCTCCCAAGCCTCTGGGATTATAGACATGTGCCATTGTGCCTGGCTGTAATCTTTTATATATAGGCTGCATATATAGCTAAATGATGTCACACTGAGAAAACAACTGGGTTTATGTCAAATTCTGCACAAGCTCTTCTGAGAGTTATAAAAAGTGCCATGAGGTATGGTATCTGCCTTCATGATCTTACCTAGTTAAGAGAAGAAATAACATGGGGCAACTAGAAGATAAACCCAATGCTACTCATTATTTTTATGCCTGGATTTAAGATATAAATGAAGTTTCAACAAGTATTTGTAGGATAGGTGTGACATAACATGTGTCCATATATACAGCCTTATGTGAAAAGACTCAGAGGTATCAGCTGACAGTTAATGATTTCCATAGTGTGATAGGGCTCCCTAAAAAGCAACTTAAATTTTCAACTATCGTAATTAAAGTATAATATACAGAATTAAGAAAATGATCAGGAATATTTAGCTTGAGAAAGATAAGATACAGGAGAACATGATTGTTATCTTTAAGTATTTGAAGGATTCCCCCAGGAAAAAAGAATACATTTGTTCAATATTGCCTCCAAAGACTCAGTGAAAATAATTTGAGAAAGAAAAACTTTTGTCCTACTATGAGGAAATACTGTCTAAAATCAGATCTAATCAAAGATGTTACTGTATTTCTTCATAAGATAGCATGGGAGTCAAAGAGGTTTTACTGTCATATATGGATTGGGAGGTGCTGGTAGAGGCAGTGTAGGAACTGGCCACACTTGGATTTCATGAACCAATAAAATTTAAATCTAGGCATGGGGAGAGGCCATAAATACAGGGCAGTCAAGCTTATTTTGCCACATAAAGACACTAAACAATATCAACTACCAATTAATATTTTGTACAAGAAAGGTGATATTTTTAATGTTCCAGGAGTAAGAAGAATATGATCTGTTTAATAATAGTCTTTGAGGTTAAATAAATTTGGCAGGAAAAAACCCCTAGATACCCTTATTTGTGAAAACTAGGGAACTCCTGGGCTAACTGGCTTAAGATTTGGTTCATTCTATGGCTCTGCTCCTACCTTATTAAAAGGATGGATAGCAGGTAGTAAAGTTCTGAGAGAGACTTTTTCTGTAATAAGAAGAGTTAAAAGAAATTGTAAAGATGGTTTTGGGAAGAAGCATAGCAGCTGTCTGAAACATTTAAGACTATTCTTGGGACTCTCTAAATTGGTCAATAGTGAATTTTTTCCCCACAAACTGAGACCACATATGTCATGTTTTACTATCAATTCTAATCTTAAAATTTAGGCATAGATAAAAATGTTGATATGGTAGTGCTTAGTATTTAAGATTTATTTCAAACTGCAGCTGATATTTCAAACATCTAACCCTACTTTGCTCATTAGAATTCCTTTCAATAACTTTCCTCTAATAGGGTTATCTACTCTAGACTCTATGCGGTATGCTTGAAGTTTCCATAATTTTTGTGGACTGTAACTAAAACATTCATCTGTATGTTTGCTATCTTACCTGGAAAATTATTCTTTGCTTAGTTACAAAGAATTTCTTATGTGGAAAGAAAGCAAAACCTTATCTCCTCTAAAAAGGGACGGTGACTCAAAGGTGCTAATCCTAGATTGGCATTGGATGGGGGTGGCCAGCAACTATTATCTGTTAAAATGTAAAATTGGATACATATATAATAATGATAATAATTAGCTAATAGTTATTGAGCTATGTGCCAGGTACTTTTCTAGGTTTGTAACATATATAATTTTCACAACAACCTTATGATATAGTTTTTATTATTCACATTTTATAGTTTGGAAGATGGAGGCACAGAAAGGTTGAATAATCTACTCAAAGTCACAGAAATAGTGGTGGAGTCAGGATTTTAGGTAACCTGATTTTAGAGTCTTTCTTCCTGACTGTAAACCACTTGAAGCTGCTTTTGAAATTCAGAAGTATACACACTATATAGCTCTGAAAAACAAGTATTTAAAGGAAATCTGAGAGTCACAGCTAAGAAAGATATTACTGTGAGCTAAACCAGAACTTTGCAGGTGATATCCAGAGCAGTACTTCTTAGGTGTAGAAACGTTAGCATTATTTGGGAGCTTGCAAATTCTCATGGCCAGACCCAGACCACCAAACAGAAACTGTCGGGGAGAGGCCCAGCGGTCCATGTTTTAATACACTTTCTAGATGATTCTGGTACATGCTAAAATTTGAACACTACTGGTCTAGATGCCAGAGCTGGGGAAAAAATCAAATCCAAGAGAGAGGAGCTGAGAATGGCACAAATAGAAAAGAAAGCTGAAAAGATTGAAGATGACAGGTCTGACAGGTGGGATGGAGAAAGAGGGGGGCTAGAAAAAGAACATATTATTAAAGAACTAGAGTATAAAAGAACAGAGTTTGTACGAATGTTTTAAAAGGCCAGGGGGGAGGGAAAGAGTAGGCCCACTAGAAGGATATATGTTCAATGTCAGAAGAGAGAGAGTGAGCTGTATTGCTGTCATTCCTCTGGGAGCCAGAAGGAAGATGAAGAGGCTTAGCTCAGCCTGGTCCTAGTCAGGGAAGCTAGTTATATGTAGCTAGAAGTATCTCTTGGACAAACTCAGACCCTAAAGTTTAGTGGAGAGATGAAAGGACTGAGAACATGAGAGGGTAGTGAGCCTGTGCTTTGTACCTGAATCAAGCTAACTAAATACCATGAACTGCTTTTATGAGATGCCTCAGCCTATATAATTTGAATTCTAGTTTCCTTCACTTGTTAATTGTTTAGTTGAATGTCTAAGTTGGGTATGCTGGATGGACTAAAGTCTCTCTTTGGGTGGGGATGAATAATTACACTAAAGAAAGTAGAGAGAATGAGGACATAGGTTGATATTTGAGTGAATTACACACCTATCCCAATAAAGAACAAATTCATGATTATCCAGCACATAAAATAAGATCTGCCATTTAGTGTCATTTACTTGGTGGGGTTTTCCCTTTACAATAGTTTTATCTGACAGTTTTGTTGATCTAATACACATGATCAAATGCTAACAAGTACTCCTCACTTTTGTGCCTTGTTCTGATTTGTCTTTATTTTTAGCACCAGAAAAGTGCCACTGTAAGCCATGAGATGTCTGGTCTGAATTGGAAACCCTTTGTATATGGCGGCCTTGCCTCTATTGTTGCTGAGTTTGGTAAGAATGTGAAAAAATGACAAGTTTGCATTTTATGCTATAGATAGTGGTATATGGTGTCAGTTATTTATTTTTCTGGTAAAAACTAGAGAGAAAATAAAAAGCTTTCCCTCTTTGTTTTAAAAATTGTTGTCTCAAAGCCCTCAAGAAATATTTCTGAGGAAGTACTACTAATGGTATGGCAAATGAAGTTAAGAAAACTCAAACTTTGGGAAGCTTTTTTGATAGTTTAATGTTTTGCTAATTTTCTAGGCTTAAATAATATATATATATATATATATGAACATATAGAAGGAGTTGGATGTGATAGGTGTTTCTGCAAGTACCCTAGCTTTTCTTTCAAACTGGTATTCTATTTGAGAAGAAAATGAACAAGATTGAAAAATATTCTTCTCTGTTTAATTTTAGTTTTGAAATATTTTTAGGTTTTAATTTTTCTTTTTTTCTTTCTGTCTTTCTTTTGGATTGAACCCAGGGACACTTGACTACTAAGCTGCATCCCCAGTCTTTTTTAGGGTCTCGACAAGTTTCCATGGCTGGTCTTGAACTTGCGATTCTCATGCTTCAGCCTCCAGAGTAGCTGGGATTAAAAGGATGTGCCACCATGCCCAGTCTAGACTGTGATTTTTAATCTTCCATATTTCCCCTTTCCTCTACCATTCATAAGTGACTATGGTCTACCAGTCCTTGCTGGCTTTCTTAGTAGATGCTGTGATGTCCAAGTCAAAAGTGAACAGAATTACATAATCACCTTGTTAGATTTAGATCTTTAAATATTCCTTGAAAATGTATTTTGTCAATATAATGTGACATTAAAAAAAGAGGTTTGGTTGAAGAAATTTCTCCCCTAAGTCCTCTGCTGGTATCAGTTCAGAATTACCTAAGAAACCAGGATGAGTAGAACATAATAGGACTTTACCATTATCTTTTATAATATTGAGGAGCTGTTTATTTCTTATAACCATATAAAAGAAAAAACTAACATAAACAACTACAAATTTTTAAGAGCACCTGAAGTAGTAAGACCATGCTTTCCTGTGTTTGTAAAAATTTGAGATAATATGAGGGAAAGCTAGAGAGACTTGAAGTGGGAGGGGGTGGGAAAAAGAGACTGATGAGTGGCATATGCATGGTACAGATGAAATTAAAGCAACAGTTAATTTTTACAGTGTCAAATGTACTATGTGTCAAATTGTGTTGCATAGATATAATATAGTACATTTCACTTTACCACATACAACTCTTGTCCTCTGGCAATGGCATTCTAATAGAGATCTTTTGTATGTTGTTGTTGCTATTACTATTATTTTACAGTGCTGGGGATGGAACTAAGGGCCTTGTGCATGCTAGGCAAGTGCTGTACCACTGAGCTATACACCCAGCCCTTGTATGTATTACAAAAAAACTCTGTCTTATGTTTCAGATACTGTCATTGCCTTATATTTAGCCAAAACTTAACTGTGACTCCTTGGAGACACTTATAAGTGAGTGTGTTCCTTTGTAGGAACTTTCCCTGTGGACCTTACCAAAACACGACTTCAAGTCCAAGGCCAAAGCATCGATGTCCGTTTCAAAGAGATAAAATATAGAGGGATGTTTCATGCCCTGTTCCGAATCTATAAAGAAGAAGGTGTATTGGCTCTGTATTCAGGGTAAGGCTGGATTCCTTCCTTACATCATGAGCAGAAATGCTTTTTAAAGAGGCCAAGGCTGGATGTGGTGGCACATGTCTCTAATCCCAGTGGCTTGGGAGGCTAAAGCAGGAGCATCACACATTCAAAGCCAGTCTCAGCAACTTAGCAAGACCCTGTCTCAAAATAAAAAAAAAAAAATTTAAAAAGGGCTGGGATATGGCTCAGTGGTCAAGCCCCTCTGGGCACAATTCCTGGTGCCATAAGCAAAGAAACAAATAAATAAACAGGCCAAGTATTTCAACTCTATAGAAGTTTGTGCCCTTTGTATTCACCATTCAACTTGTAATTCTGTGTTGATGGGCCTGTTTATATCTCATCTGCTTTAAGATGTGAGCTTTGGATTTTGTGTTTTTCCAGCTGTAAGCAATATATGTTAAAATGGACACATAATTGCAGATAGGCTTTCTCCTGGTTTCTTGAGACTCATCCATAGCTGTTATTAATAGCAGCACCAATTAACCACAAATATTCTTGTGATACTTTTCCTGAGTTGGCAAATGCTGACTTTCTTTAAAATTTTCCTTTTTAAGAAAATATTATTCTGGTAGCTTAAACAAAAATGCAGAATGAGAGAGGGAGACTTATCTCTTTTGGTCACCTTTTGATTAGCCATCAGTTTGAGATTTTGTTTTTGGCCAGTTTGTAGCTTATCTGCTAAACAGTATCCTAGGCCATTCTAAATTTAGGCTATCAGTTTATTGCTCAGAATGGAAATTAGTTTTATTATTAACCTATGTTAGCTTTATCTTAAAAATAATTTTCTTGGAGAAAAAAAATCAAGTCATTCTTCTGAAGCAGGTGATTCATGGATCATCTGTTTTAACTTGCTCTTTCTCAGCATGGATAATCACAAGATTTTTTCTGATAACAAGCAATAAAACCAGAAATATGCATATTTAGTCATAATTTTTTATTCCTAACCATTTAAGCTGTTGCTATTTATACCTCCTAAAGTGCAGTTCTACAATTTGGAGAATCTCAAAGGAGGTATGAGTGAAAATGTCTCCAGTTTATGAGCAGAACTTAAATAGGCTGAGATTTTGGTTTTAGTACCTCCTTGTTGATAAGATTAAAGATGTATCTGCAAGTATTAGGAAGTATAGGTGGATTTTAAAAAATCTTTATAGTGGATAATAGTATATAATTCTTTTTGTACATTTCTGGATTGTTTTCTAATGTTTTCTTAAAGATTTTTGCATCTGAGTTCATGAGAGATATTGGTCTGTAGTTTTTATTTTCTGTACATTTTTGACTGGTTTTGGTATTAGGGTAATACTAACCAAAAGGAGTTGACAAGCATTCCCTTTTCTATTTTCTGGAAGAGATTGTGTAAGATTGGTGTTAATTCTTTAAATGTTTGGTAGAATTCCCTGGTAAAATTATCTGGTCCTGGAGATTTCTTCTTTTGGGAACTTTTAAGTTATGGATTCAAATTCTTTAATGTGGTCTTAGTTTGGCCTGTTATAACAAGGTACCATAGATTATAAACAACAGAAAATTTTTTCCATAGTTCTTGAGGTTGAGTTCTGGTGAATTCTCTCTTCTAGGCTGCCAACTTCTTGTATCTTCATTTGACATAAAGAGCTAGTGCTCTCTGGGGTCCTTTTTATAAGGGCAATAATCCCATTGCTTCATTCTTGTGACCTAATTACTTCCCAAAGGTCCTGTTTCCTCATACTACCATGTTGAGTTTAGGATTTTAACATGTGCCTTTTGTTGGAGGGATGATACAAACATTTAGTCCATTGAAATGGTTATAATACTTACTCAGATTTCAATTTTATCTTAATTAAGCTTTGGCAATTTGTGGTTTTCAAAGAATTAATCCATTTCTTCTAAGTTGTTGAATTTATGAGCGTGAAGTTATCTTTGGAATGGTTGCAGGATTTATAGAACTATTCCATTTTATTCCTGATATTGGGGATTTGTATCTTCTATATCTTTCTGCTACAAATTTATTAATTTTATGTATTTTTTCAAAGAGCCAACTTTTTATTTCATTGATTTTTCTGTTTTCATTCTTCTCTCTGCCTCTCTTTCTTTCTCTCTCTCTCCTTTTTCTTTCTTTCCCTCCTGCTCCCCACCTTCCTTTCTTTCTCCCAAGGGATTAAGCCCAGAGTGTTTAAAGACTGAGCTATATCCCTGGCCCTTTTTATTCTATTTTATGTTTTTATTCTTGAGACAGGGTCTCGCTAAGTTGTTTCAGGCCTTGATAGGTTTCTGAGGCTGGCTTCAGACTTGTGATCTTCTTGACTCAGACTCCCGAGCCACTGGGATTATAAGTGTATGTCACTATGCCCAGCTGTATTTTCAATTTCAATGATTTATGGTTTTTTTAAAATTTTCTTCATTCTGCTAGTGTTAGGTTAATTTTCTTCTTCCATTTTTAGTTTCTTGAGGTAGAAACTTAAATTATTGATTTGAGACTTTCCCTGCTTTCTGATGTAAGTATTTTGTGTTATAAATTTCCCTCAGTAATACTTTGGGCTGCCTCCCATATATTTTAATAGATTGAATTTTGATTTTCAGTCAGATCTGTTTTTAAAATTTCCTTTGAGACTTTCTCTAACCAATAGATTATTTAGAAGTGTGTTGTTTAATTTCCAAGTGTTTGAATATTTCCTTAATGATTTCTAGTTTGATTCTATTATTGTCAGAATACACTTTATATGATTTTAGTTTTTTAAATTTGTTGGTGTTTGTTATATGATCTAGAATGTTTACTGCCTTAGTCAATGTCTCATGGGTGCTTGAAAAAATACATATTCTGTTGTTTTGAGTTGAAATGAGATGGGTAACAGAAATGAGTTGGCTGATATGTATAATCTGCAAATGCATGTTGAGTAAAATTAACTTTTCTTTGTTTTGGGAAGGATTGCTCCTGCATTACTAAGACAGGCATCATATGGCACCATTAAAATTGGGATTTACCAAAGCTTGAAGCGATTATTTGTAGAACGTTTAGAAGGTCAGTATACTCAACTCTCTTTTGAGGTGATCCTCAGAGGGATTATTGAAATCATGATTAGTGTGAAATGTTCATCACATGATGCCTCAGAACGGAGAACTATCACTTCAAGGACAAATGAGCTTGTATTGATTTGGGATAAATCCTTGCAAAGGTGATATATGTGTTAGAGGGACCAGCCATTCAAATTTGTCCTTTTAAAATAATAATAATAATAATAATAATAATAATAATAATAAAAATTCTGGTCATCTCTGAGGAAGCATGGAACAATTATGTCCAGATATTGATGCTATCCTCATCAATAAGAGGATTTCATAAGGCATTTCAAGGTGACAATTTTGATAAGCTTTTGCTAGTTAAATTTAAGGCTATTGTTTTCTAGATTGTGATGTACTTATGGCCACCTTACTCACATTCAGAATTATTGTATGTCTCTCTATTTGCTGCTGCATCATTTCCAGCCTGATATGTACTAAATGGTTATTTTACCACAGGCCAGGGGCAGTTGGATGGTTGGGAACAGCTGGAGAGACTTTCGGTTAGTAATGTCCTTTGAATCACTTTTTTGTCCTAAACCAACTTTTTCTGGAACCTCCTCTTTGGGGGATCCTGAAGGATTTCCTTCCACCTCTTCCTAAAATAATTTCCTTTCATAGATACTTCACTTGGGTTTACTTAGTTTCTAGTCGTAGGCTCTTCATGGTGGGAAGGAGGGATGAAGAAGTATTTTTTGCTGTAGAATGATGTTCTGTGGTTTCTATTCCTTTTTTCAGTTAAGAAATTTAATTCTGAATTATTGCTTTTGGGACTAGGGGTATAGGTCAGTAGTACAGTGCTTGTCTAGCATGCATGAGGCCCTGGGTTTGATTCCCAGCACTATAAAAATTAAAATAAAATGAGTAAATATATAAATTATTTTTTACATTTGACTACAGAACCTTTCTGTAGACAAATAGAAGCTTGTAGTGATTTAAGACCAGTCCAAATCAATGTTTAGATAACTTTTTCTCTACTACATGTAAGATTTTATCTTTTTACAATCATTTCCTGAATGTTTTGCATTGATGACTGTCCATAAGAAGACTTAGAAAACATATACTTTAATTTGAAATGATTGAAGGGGAAAAAACCACATTCTAAATTCATATGGGTTATGATAATTATGTAGAAGAATAGGTAGGGCATGTTTCAGTGTCCTTTTAGAAATACTGATTTTTTTTTGTAGAAATAATGATTTATATTTTATAATTTTATGTTTGGTACTGATTTGGGATCTAGAAATATTTGAGTTTCTTTATTTTCATAAACTTTGTAGTTCGTTTCTAAAGTCATTTCTCTAAGATTCTCTTCCTCTGATAGCTCAGTATTCTCTTTTCAGAACTTAGTGCCTAATAAAAGCAGACCCTTTTTAAAATCCTTTTTACAGATGAAACTCTTCTAATTAATATGATCTGTGGGGTGGTGTCAGGAGTGATATCTTCCACTATAGCCAATCCCACCGATGTTCTAAAGGTAAGAGAGATGTCTGCAGTATGCTTTGAAAAGAGTACAAGCTTAAGACAAATTTGGGTCCATATTCCCACTCTGTCCATTGCTAGCTGTAAAACGTTGGATAATCACCTAATTGCATTAAACCTCACTCAGTTTCCTCATTTGTAAAATGAAGATACTGCAGTGGTTAGGCATTGTTAAGAATTCAATATAACATATGTCAACTGCCTGAAATTGTACTTGGTAGCAGATGCTCAATAAATAGTAGTCTATTTATTATGATATGCATTACCCATTGGTCTTTAAACAGGGGCATACAACCCCCTCTAGGATATTTTCAAGGACTGTGTAGTTTTAAAGAAATCAATATCCAGATCTCTTACTTCCATTTGTATTCTTTCCTAAAACTGGTCTGAGAATGAATCTGCATTTCTAATAGCACTTTTCCCATTTTACAAAAGAAAGGCATATCCCTCCTTACCCATTCCAAATCTTCATATGGTGTGTTGATCTGTGGTGTAACCTGAGATATCAAACAAAGGGATGAATTGAGATAACAGTTTTTTAGAGAAGCCTCTTTTAATAACTATGTAGGTTATCTGTTTCTGTCTTTCCCTGTCTTATCTGTATTTCTCTTAAGGGTGAGATTTGACTTTTAAAAATGCTATATTTTGGCCTGTTTTGGGATATACTGAATTTGGAACCACAATGCTATTATGGTTTAGTGGTACTAATTTGTTAAGAATATAATTGGATTTTATCACATCATATAAAGAAACATTTTAATATCAATCTAAAGCTCAAAATGGTAAATATTTTCTGTTTATTAATTTATTTAAATTTATGATTAAAGCACTAAATATATGATTGAAATATGTAACAGGATCCCAAGTTTTTGTTTTTGATGCTGGGAATTGAACTCAAGGGCTGTACCACTGAGCTATATCCCTGGTCTTTTTTTTCTTTTTACTTTTGAGATAAAGTCTTGCTTAGTTGCCCAGGCTGACCTTGAACTTGTGATCCTTCTGCCTCAGCTTCCCAAGTAGCTGGAATTACCAGTGTGTGTCCAGTGAGAATTTCAAGTTTTAAGAAATTATTTTAGGGGGAATGTGAGAAAAAAAGTAAAAAGACACATGCTTTATTTATTTCAGCATTGGCGAATCCACAAGTACAAATTATTGCAATTCAGAGAATTTGAGCTGAGAGGGTAACTTGTAAAATAGCACACATGAAAGAAACCACTAGTAGTTGGCAGAAAGATATGAAATCATTTTTCTTCTTTAAAATGAGACTAATTTAGCTTTAAAATGTTTATATCACCTAAGATTTATAGAAAAAGTATGAAAAGAATTGACTATATCCTAGAACTCTAGAATATTTATAATATACTTGTAAGAATGTGCTTTTCAAGAAAAGTATACTTAACTCCCTGAAACTACCTTTCTTATCCATCTGGATCTTAGACTTAATCACCTAAGTGATTTGCTTCAATTTCCTATTCCTCTGATCTCTCTTGCAAAATTACAACTGTTGACCAATGCTGCAGTCTGCATTTTCCTTTCTTATACTTTGATAGGACTGAGTATTACCAGTATTGTTTGTGGGCTAAATCTGACTACTGTCTGGGGTGAAGTCACAATTTTAGATTGTGACCTTACCTATGTGATTTATAACATGATTGAAATGTTCAGTCCTTTCACTTATTCTGGGACAGTTCTTTTTCCGGTCTTCAAGGGCATTTTAAATCTTCATGCCTTACTTTTATTTCATCATTCCTCTTTCTTTCAGCAGACAACTCTACCTCCTATGGCCTCACCTTCTACCTGTTCTTGCCTTTCTACCCATCACTTATAAATCTATTTACATTTATACCTGTCTGTACCTTGTCTCTACTATAGATGTTCTCAAAATGTGGTTCTCCAGATGTGCAACATCAGCATTACTGGGAGCTCATTAGAAATGCAAATTCTTTTTTAAAAAATTTTTTAGATGTTGATGGACCTTTATTGTATTCATTTATTTATATGGGTGCTGAGAATCAGAACCCAGTGCCTCACACATGCTGGGCAAGTGCTCTATCACTGAGCCACAACTCCAGCCTTAGAAATGCAAATTCTTGAGCCCCACTCCATACTTACTGAATCAGAAAGGATGGAATGGGGCCCAGCAGTCTGTTTATGACGAGCCCTCCAGGTTATTATGATATACTATCAAGCTTAGAAACCATGACTTTACATTTACTTCTGTTTCATCAAGGACCATTCTGTATCATTTAATCTCTCTTTTTTTGCCGTGCTATGGATTGAACCCAGGGCTTCATGCATGTTAGGGAGACAGGCATTCTACCACTACACGGTATCCCCAGCCCATTTATCCACTTTCTTATCTTTATTGGTTGGCTCCCTTCGAATGATAAATATGTTCAAGTCTTTCCTAAAGTACTTTTTTCTGACCCTCTGACCTCCTTAAGACACCACCTTCTCTTTTCTGTTCTGCTTCTTGCTTGAAACTACTTTCCACATAACTGGGTGCAGTGGTGCATACCTGTAATCCTGGTAACTTGGGAGGCTGAGGCAGGAGGATCACAAGTTCAAGGTCAACACTTTAATGAGACCCTCAGTAATTTAGTGAGACACTGTCTCAAAATTAAAAAAGGACTGGGAATAATACAGTTCAGTGATAAAGCACCTCTGGATTTAACTTCCAATACCAAAAAGAAACTACTCCCCAGGTTCAAGTAGTATAGTCTATATCATCCATTCCATTTTAGTTCTCAACCTATTTTGATTAATTTCTCTGGGAATTTCTGCTTTGATTTTGACTCTTCTCCTAGGTTTCATACATTTTGGTTTCATATGTAGGCTTATTTTTCCTATATGTACCTAAAATGTTTCTCTTCTCTATGCAAGTTTATATCATTTCTCCTCTATAATCTTTCTCTGGTTGGTCTTTTTCATTTTCTAAGACTTTAGCTCTCTGGGGCTGGGTTGTGGCTCAGTGGTAGAGCGCTTGCCTAGCTTGTGCAAGGCCTTGGGTTCGATCCTCAGCACCACATAAAAATAAAGATATAAAAAAATACTTTAGCTCTCACTATAACAAAGAAATTCAAAATGCATGGCCTCAAATAACATATGAGTTTATTTCTCTCTCACGTAACCATCTAGAGGACAATAATTTATGCTGGTGGGTAGTCCTATGGTGCAATCAATCATCCAGGACCCAGGTTCATCCAATTTTGTTGCATTGCCATCATCTAGAGCATGGTTGGCAAACTGTTTGTGGGCTAAATCTGACTACTGTCTGTGTAAATAAGTTTTGTTGGAACACAGCCACCCCATTTGTTTCTGTATGTCTATGGTTGCTTTTGCTTTAGAACTGCTTAGTCAGGACAGAGGCCATAGGCCTTACAAAGCCTAATTTATGTACTGTATGGCCCTTTTCAGAAAAAAGTTTGCTAACCCCTGTCCTATGGTATTTTTTTAATGTATTTAGTTGAAGGTGGGCCATAATCACATCTGTTTTCCAGCCCATGGGGAGACAGAAAGTTAAGGGAAAGCAATTTCTTTTTGTTTTGTCAAAATAAAATCAGATTAAGTTAGAAAAAATTTTAAAGTTTATTGATATACAGTAAGAGAGAGTACATACTTTCATCCAGGAAACTTTAAACCAAATGGTAAGAATACAACAATTACAGCACAGTTTGTGATGCATAAAAGGGGAAGTCTACTCATCTCTAATTTTCCACAGGGGGATTCCAGGACCCCAAGCCTCTGGGCTATCTGAAATCCTTGAATGCTCAAGTCTGTTATATAAAATGGTTTAGTATTTGCATCTAACCTCCTCACATCCTTCTGTGTATTTTAAATCAACTCTAGATTAATTATAAGTCTAATATAATGTAAATGCTATGTAAATAGTTATGATACTGTATTGTTCCAGGAATAATGACAAGGAAAAAGTCTTGGGGCTGGGGATGTGGCTCAAGCAGTATTGCGCTCGCCTGGCATGTGTGTGGCCCGGGTTTGATCCTCAGCACCACATACAAACAAAGATGTTGTGTCTGCCGAAAACTAAAATAAAATAAATATTAAAAACTTCTCTCTCTTTCTCTCTCTCTCTCTCTCTTAAAAAAAAAGAAAAAGAAAAATCTATACATGTTCAGTACAGATGCAATTGTTTTCTGAATATTTTTGATCAGTGGTTAGTTGAGTCTGTGCATATGGAGGGCCAACCGTATTTTCACCTTTTTTATTCTAATACTGGGGATTTAACCCAGGTGTGCTTTACCACTGAGTACATCTCTAATCCTTTTTTATTTTTTATTTTGAAACAAGGTCTCACTAAGTTGCTGGGGAGTCTCTCTAAACTTACAATCCTCCTGCCTTAGCCTTCCAAGTTGTTAGGATCATAGGCACGTTCCATTGAGCCCAGTTATTTTGACTTTTTTTTTTGATTGGCTGTTATACATTACCATTCTTTTTAAGGCAAGTAGAGCTGTTAAGCTGATTTGTCTATAATTGATTGATTTCATTTCACTGATTCCTGCTGATAAGGATGTAAAGCTTATGTTTTTTTTATGATTATAGATGGTGCTTTGGGGAAATCAAGATAACTTAAGTTTTGGGTGGAGTATGGTTGGCCTTCAGGGTAAAGCTCAACTGTGGCCTCCATTTTTATCTTAAATCTTTATGTAGTTTTTTTTAATTTTATTTTCTTTCTTTTTTAAAAATTAATTAATTTATTTTTTATTATTTAGTTTTTTTAAAAGAAATTTTCATTTTAAAATATTTTTATTTATAAATGGACACAATACCTTTATTTTATTTATTTATGTGTTGCAGAGGATCAAACCCAGTGCCTCATGCTTGCTAGGCAAGTGCTGTAACACTGAAGTATAACTCCAGCTCTTTATGTAATTTTTGATAAAAAATTTTAAACATGCACAGAAGTAGAGAAAAATGTAATATAGTGAACATCTTTGTATGCATCACCTGCATTCACTTACCTTACTCTACTCCTAAACCTACTGAGGAATCACCTCCTTGAAGAAGTCTTCTACTTCCCATAGGGTAGTATTGATCTGTCTTTGTGATAGTTTGCATCTTGATTTAATTTGGTTTAGGTTTTTATTTCAAATCTCTTTTAATGGCAGTTGGCTTTCTGCATCAAAGCATGCCACCATTATATGATTTAGCAAGTACATTTATTGAAACCTAGAATGCTAGAGTCATGCTTCATGAAAATCAGACCTACGTTTGGGCCATGTATTTTGTGACTGACTACTATGATTCTATGTATGCAGAGTCTGTGGGAAATTGTACCAAATCTTTTACATGGTTTTTTAATGCTGTATTTTCTTTCTTGCAGCTTTCAAATGCCACTTGGCAGAATATAGTATCATGCTTTTTACAAGTAAAATTCAATTTAAGGTCTTTTAAGACTAAAATTATATTTTTAAAACACTTTTTTGCTTTTTATAATTATATAAGTAATGCATGTTCAATGTAGAGAGAAATGGAAGGCATAAGAAATAAAAAAGAGAAAACAATACTCACTTGTAGCCTCACCATTCAGATATAAGCCACTATCAATATTTGGGTACGTATGTTCGTCCAATCTCCTTGCTGTGTTTATGAATATTTTTAAGTTCACATGTTTTAATAAAAATGATATACATACTGCTTTGCAATCCTTTTTCTAAATTAGCAATTAATTTTAACATTTTTCATTATCAACAGATATTATTCTACAAGAAAAGGTTATGGCTCCATAGTATTCCATTAAATGGCTATACTTGAATACATAATTTATGTAACTGATCTGTTATTGTTATTATTTGGGGATATTTAGGTTGTTTTAAACTTTTTACTAAACCAACCATATTTTAAAAATTATTGTCTACCCTTACTGAATGCATGTTCTTTTCCCCCACATTTTCTCCCAATTCCAGAAATGTTGGACTTACCATGGGGAATATGAGGCTAATGAAAATAATCTTTATGAAATATACTTTGACATAAATTGTATTTTTTTGGCTGGAATTTAACTCATTAATTTCATCATAACAGCAGAGCTCTTTCTGAGAATTCCCAAATACTTTTTTCTTAATTTTAAATGAGTGAAATACCTCATTTTGGTTCTCTTTGTCAAAACAATGGTCACATCTTGTATTCTAGATTCGAATGCAGGCTCAAGGAAGCTTATTCCAAGGAAGCATGATTGGCAGCTTCATTGATATATACCAACAAGAAGGCACCAGGGGTTTGTGGAGGGTGAGTACTCTTTTCCTGATATTGTTCTATACTCTCAGTTCCTAGAATTTGCAAGCAATACTTTTTTATATAAGGCCATAAAATTGTAAATTATAACCTCCCCCAAACAAAGTAAGAAGCTCCTGGGATGTGAGGGGGGTGGTTGGGGTTGTGGCTCAGCGGTCGACTGCTCGCCTAGCACATGCGAACCCTGGGTTTGATCCTCAGCACCAAATAAAAATAAATAAATAAAATATAAAGGTATTGTATCCAACTACAACTAAAAAATATATTTTAAAAAGAAGCTCCTCATCACAAATGAAAGGACCAATATTAGTGATCTTTATTTCTGCTTAATGTTTGAGGGTTGTATATATGGGGAAAGGTATTGCATTATTTTTGGTTTGTTTAAATTCCCAGTGAATTTAGTTCTTCAAAGTATTTTTTACTAGTTTTGTAGTGACACACAATCTTTGTCTATGATGGCCTCTGTAGTGCTTATGTTTAAAAGTTGTTACTTAAAACAACCTTTTTAACCTTATAAAAAGTACAATGTACTGTAAAATATTGAGAAGATACAGAAAAGCAAAAACAAAAATTACAGTGGTAGTCCCACCACCTAGCAATAATAACTGTTAACAATTTGTCATATTATCTTCCAGCTTTCTATTCTTTTTTAAAATTTTTTTTAAACTTTATTTTTTTATGTGGTGCTGAGGATTGAACCCAGTGCCTCACACATGCTAGGCAAACACTCTACCACTGAGCCACAACCCCAGCCCCAGCCTTCTATTCTTTACTGTTTGTTGTCATTATTGCTATAACTTTTTAATCTGTGTTAATTACTAGATATTGTAATAGTAAATAAGACTACTTATAGACTATGCAGAGAGAATGTATGGGAAACCCATTAATGACTTCTAAATAAAAATGAGAGCTTTGCTAATATTCTTCCTTTATATTTTCCACAACTACTTGTTATTAAAAATTCAAACATAGACATTGAAAGAATTGAACTATGAATGCTACTTATGCATGATCTCATGACCTGGACTAAATGACTGGTAGAATTTGAACATATTAGTTTTATTTATGTGTATGTATATAT